CTCTCTCTCTCTCTCTCTCTCTCTCTCTCTCTCTCTCTCTCTCTCTCTCTCTCTCTCTCTCTCTCTCTCTCTCTCTCTCTGTGACCCTAACACGGACCACAACGGGTGAGCACACCCAATCCACGAAGTCGATGTGCACTCCTGCTGGAGATCGTAAACGAAATCCCCACATACCCCGGCTGTGCAGCGAACACGAGAAGTCCAGCAATCTCCCGTAGCTCCTGTCTTCGTCACCTTCGCGGACTGACCCTGAAAACAGTGTCAGGGCAGGAGACCCCTGCAAAAACCTCCATATCAAAGATCGAGGGACAGAACCCTCGATCGGTCTCGTTACGTATGGTGCAGCATCCTGATCGGACTGATCCCACCCGCCGATGACCCCCACATATCCCGCTCTCCTTCCTGCACCGAACTAGGATTCCTGACAGAAGTCAAGTGAGAGTGTGAGACCAGCAACGACCAGGAGCATATCACTGCTCCTTCAACACGCCCCCCCAACACCCTAGTGTTCTTCCCTGCGCCGCCATGGTCACGCCAGCGCCAAGTCTTGGCAATCGAAGCCTGAGTAACTGTATGAACGCCGTGAACGCGCGTTCACGTTCAAACGCGCGCGTTCATACCCCCCTGCCCCGCGTTCAATCGCGTTCAAACGTGCTACGCGTGCGCGCGTACGAAAAAATCGAACGTGGTTCCGCGGGGCGCGCGCACGCGACGGGGGCTACGGGGTGGTGGTCCGAGTTCAACAGACCCCCAGAGTGCGAAAACCGCCCCCCGGGGACCGCCCGATAGCCCCCCCGCCCCACGGCCCCCTGGCCGCCCCACCCCCAAAACCGCCACCTGCCAAGCCCCGACACCCCTCCCCACCCAACGGAGGGCCACCCACTCCTGCCACCTCCCCTCCGACCATGCCTCTGTGCCACCCAGGGACGTTTTTTTTTCTTATCCCCGCCCACAAATACAACCCCCCAAACCACGCCACCCATTTACACACACACACACACTGACACACACACCCATTCACACCGTCGCACACACACGGGCACTTTTTTTTTTTTTCGCCAACACGTACACCCCCCCCAAACTACGCCACCCATTTACACACACACATAAGCATATTCACACAGACACACAAACTGCGACCTTTCGTTTATTTTTTTTCCAAAATATCTGTTTTCTTTATTTTTTTGTTAAGCGCAAAACAAGCGGTTAGAGTCTTAGAGAAATTTTGAAAAAGGGTTGCAAGCAAAAAAAAAAAAAAAAGGTGGTTTGGGCGTGGGTTCGGGGCCAGGGGTGGGGGCGGGTGGCCAGGGGGGGCTACGGTATGGTTTGGGTTATGAGGGGACTGGAAGCACACGGGGGAAGTGAGATTTCAGAGAAACCAAGGGCAGACTCAAAGCACACAAAACACTCGTCGTCTGAAAACAGAAACATCGCAAATGACAAGATGTAATGATCGAAGCAAAACCCAAACCACTATAGCATGGATAATAGCAAAAATCAAACACATCGTGTCGAAGCCCCGCCAGTCTGTGGAAAGAAGTACCAACCCAAAAATGCCGACGAAAAATAAACTAAAATACATTGGAAAGCTATAATCTCCGAAGTAGCAAACTGCACAGAAAAGTGCCTACTCGAAAGTACACTATAATACAACATCACGAAACATTACGTCTGTCATGGATAACAAAAAACTAAACTCGAACGAAATGGCCATGTACTCCTACGAAAGTAGACTACAATACAACATCACGAAACACTACGTCTGCGCAGAAAAGCACCCACTGGAAAGTAGACTATAATACAACCTCACGAGACACTACGTCTGTCATGGATAGCAAAAAACTAAAGTACACTCAGAATGTCACGAAAACGCAAGTCCGTGATCCGTCAACGATCGTCGTGCACACGCGGATCTCGCTCGGACCGATGAGAACCGCCACCTCCCCTCCGACCAGTGCCACGCAGTCGATCTCTCTGACGCTGGCCGCCGCGTCTGCCAGCGGAAGGCTCGGGAGCGACGGGACACTCGTCGGGGTCGTCGTCCATAATGAGTCTCCTACCTCTCAACGTCCTGCCTACACCTGCGGCTGCTAGGTCATCACGTCGGCGTGACTCGCGTGCCATAGGTAGACCGTCTGTCCCTGAAGTCTCCCCCTCCTGGCGTCGATCTAATGGCACGTGTCTCTCCTGCCTCGGTCGTGTAACATGTCTGGCTCATGCAAAATAATCGACGCCTCTCTCAAACCGTACGTCAAGGGCGGATCCATTGCGCTCGCTGCGGCAACGCCTGCACCCTCACGTATGTCGTCGCCCTTGCCACCGCTGCCACCGCCTCTACCACCAAACCCTGAAGCTACAACATCTCTATGTCTCACGGTCGTGGAAGCCCCTCTCAAACCTGGCTGACGACCTGCACTCGCCGTCGTCACCCGTCTCGTCTCGCTCCATGGTCGATCTGTGCGACCGAACAACATGGTGTCCAACAACTCCCGCGCACGTTGGGTAGTGTCTCTCCGTCTACGGTCAACCGACCTCGGGGTGAGACTGCCGCCCTCCCTCGGAGCTGCAGTCAAGGGTGACGAAGGGCCTGCGGCGCCTCCAGATGACGCTGCAAACGAACCTCCAGAAGGTAAGTCCCCTGCGGCCCCGCCAGATGCCGCTGCGACGGAACCTCCAGAAGGTAAGCCCCCAGCAGCCCCGCCAGATGGCGCTGCGATGGAACACCCAGAAGGTAAGCTGGGGCTGGCTGGCCCCCAAGATAAGTCCTGCACGTGAGGCAACTTCCCCTCCTTCGGGACTGACCTCAAAATGCGCTGGTCGATCTCCGTCAAATCCCTCCTGCCGTGGTCCTCCAACTCCTCAGCGGTCATAAAACCAAAAGGGAGGCTGCCCCGAGGCGTAGCCACATGCCTAATCTCCGGCCTCGTCCGTGACGACGCAGAAGCAGGGACCGGGGGTATGCACGGGCCCCTGCCTACACGTCGCTCCTCGACCGGGCCCCCGCCATGTGCACGACGCCTATAACCCTCCAAAAACGGTGCCTGATGCGGCACCACTGGCCCCACAGCAGTGCGAACCACCAAAGTCTGTGGCATCTCCTGTCCGTCCGCGTCAAGCCTGTCTACCTGTGCGGGGTTCCCCCCGCCAGACGTGGACATCGGATCGGCCACGGACGGCACCCCCGACCCGCCAACACCAACGGCCCCCACTATGGCCCTGTCCCCTCCAGTGGTCTGCGCTATCCCCTCCGCCTGTGCCGATGGCCGAATACCATCAACGCCCGCTGACTGCCCCGTCTGTATGTCCTCCAGACCCGGGGACATCTGCACGGCACCCTCAACTGAACCGGCGGGCAGAGGCACGCCCGCTGTCAGGCGGCCGCAAGTAGTCCGCCGCCTGAAAACGGCAGTTTTGGGACTTAGGCTCAGGGATAAGTCCGTGTTTTGACGGTACACTGGACTGACCAGGAGGCCGAGATTAAAGGAACTCACGGCACCCCTAGTTTTGGGTGTGTCGACCATTGAGACTAGGCCTCGAAATTGTAGAGAAGAACTACCGC